AGAGAGGGGAAGTTGAGAAGGGATTTGAAGTTTGGTGTTTCGATCGAATTGGATTGGATTGGATCAATTAGGTTTTGGAGGATGGATTTGGATGCGTTTCGGATGATTTTGTCGAATTGAGGGTGAACATGTGGGAGTTAATCAACACGGCGGGCACTAGTTAAAGGATTGGAGGGACAGAATCATGGAGCAACTTTATACAACAACGAGCTCTGATTTGAGTGCCAGAACTGCGACGTTGATCTCCAGAGACCTAACAGCGTTTCCAAAAACGAGGCTTTGTCTTTGGATTTCATCAAGAAAGAGAGGAGTCATGATGATGAACAACAATAACAACAACAACAACCAAGGGAAGGAGGTTCGCCTTCAACTCCGCGGTCAATTCATAGAGACGACGATGGCGATGGCAATGAAGAACGAGATCCGTACGGAGGTTTGTTCAACGATGAAGAGACCAGAATTCTTAACATCAAAGAACAGCTTGAAGATCCAGACCATGTATTTATTCAATTTAATCTTCAATTATTGAATCTTAGTTTTATAATTATTATTATTATTACGAGTATTAATTTTTAAAACTGTGTTGTTGAACTATAATTTCTCTGTTTCAGTCTGAAGATTCCCCTTTTGAATTGCTTCAAAGCCTTGCAGATATGGATATAACATTCAAAGCACTCAAGGTAATCGAAAACATGTCTAATATATATATATATATATATATATATATATTTCATTTTCATTCTTTCTAAGAGTCTCTGTCTTAGGAAACTAATATTGGGAGGCATGTGAATCGTTTGCGGAAGAATCCATCAAATGATGTGCGGAGATTGGTTAAACAACTCGTCAGGTTTGAAGATTCGAAACTAAAACAAAAAATTTTGGAAATAAAATAGTGTGTGTTTGTTTGTTTTACTATACACAGACATAGACAAATAGTTGTGGGAGTTGTTAGATCATGGTTTTTTTTTTTCTTTACAGAAAATGGAAAGATTTGGGTGATGAATAGGTTAAGTTGAATACACCCAATCAACGTGTTTCTTCTTCTCTCATTGGTAATATCACCCAAAATTCTGAACCCTTCTCTCTCTTACTTTCTTTTTCTAGATAGAATTATTACTTGTTTGAATTGAACTAAAAAAGAGGTTCATTAATGGTGATGGTGAGGGTGTTGGCAGCTGATGGAGACTCTCCTCAGCAGAATGTACCACCTAATAACACCTGAAACGGTCTTCACCACCAGGTAAAAATTAGCGTTTGCTTCCTCACTTGGCTATGCTTTTTTTGAGAAACAAAATATTTTAAGGTTTTTGTGAAAATTCCAAACTTTTGATCTCCAAAGTTGTGGTCTTTACAGGTTCCTGATTTTGCCTACTCTCCAAATCCACATAGAAACTACCGGATCTGATTCCTAGCTCAATTGGGTCTATTTGTTTTTATTTTTTTGTGGATTTGATTTGATACAATATATATCATTTTTTTTGTCTTTTTTAATAAAAATTGTTGTAAATGGGAGCTCTGGTTCAGACAAGAACAACTCTGAACCAGAACCTAAAGTAAAAGTAGTTTCTCGAAGGGATGCTCCTCCTGCCAAACCGACCCATTCCATTCCCCTAGCTGCTTCTGTCCCTGCAACCTAGGTACCCTTTAAATTGTCCTTTATTTGGTTGCCGAGAAAACTGAGGAAATAAGTGGAAAGGGCGTTTTTGGGTCTTTTGATTTGTGCATTTTTGAATCATCCCCAAAAGAAAAACAAAACTGAACTTAATTATAGCTTTTTAGAGATGAAATATTTTTGGATTCCACATTTTGTTTTTAGCAAGCACAGGCCTCCATGCACTAGAAAGAAAGTGTTGTAAATCACATTGCTTTTACAGTGAATTGCAGAGACAACAAAAGGAATCAAGCCTTAACCTTGAAGGCTGGCTTCAATAGGAAAACGGCTTCATGAGAATTACCAGGAAGCTGAGAATGGATACTTTACTATATTTTGGCTTTACTAGCATTCTATTTGGATTGTATTTTTGTCATAAAAGAACTTTTTGCAATAACTTTCACATATGGCTCCAATTTTGAGACTCAAATGGAATGCCTAATTAAACTACAATGCAATATTGTTTGAACTCTTGTCGTTGCTATTTCTAGAGTGCTTAACGTTACATTTTTTTTTTAAATTTTTTGTGCGAAGGTAACAAGATGGTCGCCAAAAAATATGTTAGCATTTTTATTTGTTTTTTGCGATGGCAAAATAGTGGTCGCCATAAGTAGTTTAGGCGGCCGTGAACAATTTGCGACCGTTGGTTTGCCGTCGCAAAAAGTATTTGCCACTCCCACATTTGCCGTCGCATGGGCCGTCGCAAAAGGTCTTTTGCGACTGTATTTTTATTATTTGCGACAGCTTGTAGCGGTCGCAAAAAATATTTTTTTTAGCAGTGGATAATGCATATCCAACTCCACCACCACCACCACCACCATCATCCTAATTTCATAAAACTCAACCTCATTTCCATCTCCTCTTTACAAAATCAAATATTCCCATTTTGTGGGGAAGAAAATCCCCTTTTTCTTTATAAATCAATTCCAAGGATAAAATATACCATTTTATCACAACTCAATCACATTTTCAATTCCACAATCATTTTCAAGGATCCATTTGAAAACCCTTTTTTTATTTCAAAATCAAAACCCTAGATTTTTATCCAAAAATCCTCAAATCACAATTTTGTTTAGAAAAGAAAATAACTAAGTTAAAAATCACATTAAAGTGTAGAGAAATCCCTATCTCAAACCTAGAAGGCAGGAGAGAGAATGAAGAAACTTTGACAAAACCGATAATCAACTTTGCTCCGATCAAAAAGAAACTCTAGGCAAGCTCTACCCTTTTCCCCAAAGGACAATGGTTGAGAGATCAATAGATTATAGTATATTTGAGGTTTAAAGATGGTTTCTAGAAAGACAGTGTATAGATCTAGGTTTTGAAATGTTTAGAGAGAGAGATGTGAGAAAATGACTCAAAAAGTACCTTTCACAGACTGATATACGCGCAGACCACTCGAGCGTAGAAATGGTCGCTTGAGCGATCAGACACAACGAAGACACCACTCGAGCGCAAAAATAATCACTCAAGCGCACATTGCACCCCTCCCAGTAGTTCAGGCCTGTAAAAGTTCACTCGAGCGCAAGAAGTATCGCTCGAGCGCAGATATCTAACTCTCAGTAGTTTTGCAAACTGTAAAAGACCGCTCGAGCGAACACGCAAAATTCTGGGGCAAAGACTCTTTTGAAAAACAAACTCCCAGCCTATTTCAAACACAATCGCAAGAATCAAACAATCCAATTCAACAAGAAATAAGATGAACAAGAATATAAACAACCAGATAAAACAAGGAATCCGGATCTAAAACAATAAACGGTTCGGGTCTAAACTATAATTGTTATACCATTTAATCTGTGTGTTTTTTTTTATAAAAAAAGTAGAAGATTGTATTCATGTTTTTTGAATGCAATTACACGGTGATTGTATTTTTAATCTATGTTTTTTGAAAAAAAAAAGAAAAGAAAAAAGAAGAGTTTATATTCATTAGGTTGACATAAAGTAACAACTATAAATGATTATTAGATTGTATTTTGTGATTGTGATTGGACTTAATTTAATTTTTAATATGATGATTGTATTTTTAATCTATGTTTTTCTATAAAAAAAATTAGATTGTATTTATTAGGTTTACATAATTTTGATGATGATTATTAGATTGCATTTTGTAATTGAGTTTTTTAACTCACTGTATATTTTGAAGAAAAAAATTTGTTGTGCTTTTTAACTATCAATTAACTTAATTTGTGATTAGGTTTTTAACTCACTATATTTTTTTCAAAAAAAAAAATAATTGTATTTTTTAATTATCAATTGACTTCATTACTTTGATTTTTTATTATAAACAAAAATGTAATTGTGACGACCCTGCCACGTAGATATTTTACATTTAATTAATCAAGGTGATTTAGATTTTAATTAATTATTATTTCGATTTAATTGTGAAATTGATGAACAATATTGGGGTTGATTCGTATATAATTTTATAAAAGAGTTATCTTGGAATTAGAAATTAAAAGCTTAGGTGGCTCAAGAAGGTGAAATTGACGAATTGAAATATTCTAATTTCGAGTATCGAACTATATGGGAATTTAATTAATACTCGATTCAGTTTAGTAAAATTGAGATTTTATTAATTGAGTCCGAATTTGAGTTAATTAAGGTATGAAGATTGGGAATTAAGATTGTTATGAATTAAATTTATTTATATGAAGTTCAATTGAATATGTAATTTATTTACGGAGATTTTGAATTTGATCTAAAATTGAAGACCTTAATGGCTTGGGAATCCAAGATTAATGATGGTGATAAGTTTAATTTGATATTTGAAACTTTTTAGGGTATTGATTAAAAATTTGATTCAGATTGATAAATTTAGTTATGATTGATTGGGCCTTAATTGAAGTCAAGTAGGCTAATTGAGTTGTATTAGAATTCACCAATCCAGATTAAATATGATTAATTGTGATTTAATTAAACTAATTATGTAATTGAGAGTTAAATTAATCCTACTCACGTGATTAATTGCGAAGTTATGTGACCAACGTATTTTATATTGGTCAATTCATGAAATAAAGAGGAGCTGGAGCCTTTCATATGTGTGTATATTATATTTGTGTTAAAGTCAAGAGTGGGTGTATTAAGAAATCTAGCGGGTGTGCAGATAAATCAAATGTGTGCATGGGTGTTGTACTGGAGGCTTAAAACAAGGTGCACGTGTGCATTGTGGTCAGCAAAAGGAGTGTAAATGTGTATGTGTTGAACAGTCTGATTTGGCTTCATATAACAAGGACAAGTGTCCCACTACGTAAAATAAAATAAAATGAAAAGACAAGAAAAGAAAAGAATAAGGAAGGAAATCAAAAAGAATGTGGAATAAAGAAAAGGGGTGTAGTACATTGCCATTCATCATTTATTCCGTTAGCTGGAAAGAACACAGCCGAGAGAAAGCGGGAGGACAATCGAGAGGGAGAAAGAAAGAACAAAAAGGGAAGAAAAAGAATCCAAGTTTTGTGTTGGAAAATTGAAGGAAGTGCTCAAGAAATTTATCAAATTGAAGTGTAAAGGTAAGGATTTCAATCTTAATTTTTGTAGAATTCTTGCATCACACTTAAAATTAAAGATGAGTTTGGTTCAATTTCATGTAATTGAAAGGAAAATAGCAAGAAGATGATGAAATTAAATTAGATTCATGATTATGAAAATTAATTTAGAGATTAATTATTTTGGATTTGATTTTGGAATATCATGCATGAATTGAGTCTAGTTTCTATATGTATGGACAAATCTTACCAGTCTTAATACTCTAATTGTATATGCATCATAGATTTCTTAGAATTAATTTCATGTTATGATGAAATAAGAACTAAGCTTTGGAAAATTATGAGTTTATGAACAAATGAGTTCAATTTTTAAATAAAAAGAGTTTTGATTTAAAATTGATCATATTTTCTTGATTAATTAAGAGTTTGCGTGTTTAAACAAACCATGTATGAACCCAAGTTTTGAGATTATATTTTGAAAGTTCAATTTTATGTTTCACAATTTGTGGGTTTGAAATTGGGCTTGATGCGAAAAAAATGAATTAAATTTAAATTTGGACAAATTTTGAAATGAATTATAATTTATATTTGAGAATCAAAAATTAGTTTGATTTTGATTTAAATTGCATGCATGTAAATATTTTTGAAAGGGCTTTATAGTTTCAATTTATGTTTCATAAAATAAAGAAAGAATTGAAAGGTAATTTTTGAAACATGGAGAATTTGGCACCAAATCACATATGCATACATAATTTTGTTGAATCTCATGAATTTAAGTGTCATTTCTACTATTTGAGACGAAATTAGAGTCTACATTTCACATGCATGCACAATCTAGGAAAATATAGAATTCATGTGCATGAGTTTTAAAGTTATGGGAATGGATTTGAAATAATTTGGGCTTGTATGATTAATCCTTGGAGATTTGAGCTTCAAATATTGTAGAATTGACATTATGTCATGTTAGAAGTTGTATGGTTGACATATAAAACAAAACATGTAAGTTGTATCATTTAAAGTGGTGTTTTGAAGTTTAAACAACATTCTAGAAAACCTAGAATTCATCATCATTGCTCGAGCGAAGAAGTTGTCGCTCGAGCATAAAATTCAAGCAACCAGTATTTTTGCAGACCAAAAGGTCCGCTCAAGCGACCAATGTTGCGCTAGAGCAGAGAACCCTGTTTTAGAAAAGTTTGAAAAGTTGTTTCATGTTCCGATTTATGTTTTCTTTTATTTCTAAGCATTCTTAAGCATACATTGAGCATTATGAATGAATTGAAAGAGTAAGAAAGAAGTCTAAGGGATTAAAAAGTGAAGAACGAAATGAATTGTATTGTGACCCGATTTCTATGTGTATTATGAATTGTGTAGAGTCAACTACAAGGGTGAATCAGGCATTTGAACACTATAAGTAATATCTTAGTAAAGATATTTTCAAGTATGTTATTTTTCAAATGCTACTTCTGTGTAAGTTTCATAGAATTGTTGATTTGAATTACGAATGAGTATTCTATATGCCTAATTTTTTTGTATAAGACTCTATGAAGAACATGATTTGGGCCTAAGGCCTTTTGATATGTGATAAGAGTATGAATTGGGCCTGAGGCAGTTTGATATGTCTAAATTGGGCCTAAGGCCGTTTGTCGTTTGATAAATGGGCCAAAGGCCGTTTAAATAATATGTGATGCGCCCAAGGCCATCTGAATACGAATGCAATAGGCCAAAGGCCGTTTGAATATTATGATGGGCAAAGGTCGTTTGAATAATATGTAATAGGCCCAAGGCCATCTGAATACGAATATAATGGGCCAAAGACTGTTTGAATGTTATGATGGGCCGAAGGCCGTTTGAATATCGTGATGGGCCAAAGGCCGTTTGAATATGAATGTAATGGGCCAAAGGCCGACTGAATAAAAAGGTTATCATGATCACGGATATGAATATGCACACAGATATGAATATGAACATGTAATATGATTAGACAAGTAAATTGGACTTGAGGTTGTCGTGATTTTGATTTATATGTAATATGCATTAATGTGATTTACTTAATTAAGAATCTCAGTTATACAACTTCTTTACTTTGGTATTATTCACTGGGTATTAGCTCACTCTTTATATATATATATAGGTGAACAATTGGAGGATCAACATTAGAGTTTGCTTCGAAGTCTGCTTTTTTGTCAAGCCACCCAATAAGTACCTCTATGTAGAGGGTTTATTTTATTTTGTCAGGCTTGAGTTAATCTTTGTGTTATGTTAAAAGTCCTCCATGTAGTGTGTGTGAGATATGTTTTAAAATATGTCTTCGTACATGTATATATAAAAGTGCGTTAAAAATGTTTTAATTATCACAATTGATCATGTACGCATAGCTCAATGGACATTATTATTTTTGTTTTGCTTCCGCTTCAGGCCCCAATTATATTTAAATATAACTGACTTTGTCTTTGAGGCCATAGGTAATCTTCGGATTACTGGCCGGTTACGACGCTAAACCTATAGCGACATGTTTGGGTCGTGACAGTGATAGTATTTTTTTACACTCCGTTTTGATCGCATGGAGATTTTATTTTTTAAAATGATTTTTTTTACACTCCATTTTATTTGTGTTTTTTGAACAAAAAAATAGATTGTATTCATTAGGTTTACATAAAGTAGCCACCATTGATGATGATTGGATTATATTTTGTGTAGCAAAAAAATAAATAAATTATAATTGCGCTTTTTAACTCACTGTATTTTTTTTTATAAAAAAAATATTGTACTTTTCAACTATCTATTAACTTAATTTGTGATTGGGTTTTTAAGTCATTTTGTTTTTTGGAACCAATTGACTTCATTGCTTATTTTATTTTATTTTATTATTATGAGCAAAAATGTGATTGTGTTTTTTTGCACTCCATTTTGATCACGCGATGATTTTATTTTTTAATTGATTATGTTTTTTTATATTCCATTTCAATTACATAATGAGAAAAAAAAATTGTTTTAGTTGTGATAATCTCTGTGTTTTTTTCGATCACTTAATAGATTATATTCAATAGGTTCATATAAAGTATCTACTATTAATGGTGATTAGATTGTATTTTGTCTATAAAAAAAAAATGGTAATTGGGTGCATTTTTTGAAAAAAAAAAATGATTGTGTTTTTTAAATGTCAGTTGACTTAATTTGTGATTGGAAATGATTGTATTTTTTAACTATCAATTGACTTAATTTGTGATTTCATTTTTAACTCATTGTGTTTTTTTGGAAAAAAAAAATAATTGTGTTTTTTTTTTACCAATTGACTTCATTGCTTTTATTTATTATTATTATGGATACAATCTTCATTCCAATACAATCTAGTAATTTTTTCATTTATTTTTCAATGCGATGATTGTATTTTTAAACTAATTGAATTTTTCAACTCACTGTGTTTTTTGAAGGAAAAAGTGATTGTGCATTTTAAATGTCAATTTAAAAAATTTATAATTAATTTCTGATTGGGTTTTGAGCTCACTTGATTGTGATTGTGTTTTTTAAATATCAATTGACTGAGTTTTTTACACTCCATTTCAATCACATGATGAGAAAAAAAAAATGTTTGGGCTGTAACAATCTCTGTGTTTTTTTCGATCACTTAAGTAGGTTCACATAAAGTACCCACTATTGATGATGATTAGATTATATTTTGTCTACCCAAAAAAAATTGTAATTGGGTTTGTTGATTTACTGTATTTTTTGGATAAAAAAATGATTGAATTTTTTAAATACCAGTTGACTTAATTTGTGATTGGGAATGATTGTATTTTTTAACTATCAATTGATTTAATTTGTGATTGGATTTTTAACTCACTGTGTTTTTTGGGAAAAAAAAACATTCTGCTTTGTAACTATCAATTAACTTAATTTGTTATTGAGTTTTTAGCTCACTATGTTTTTTGAAAAAAATAATAATAATTGTACTCTTTAATTACCAATTGACTTCATTGCTCTTTATTATTATTATTATGAGCAAAAATGATTGTGTTTTTTTACACTCTATTTCTATGACATGATGAGAAAAAAAATTGTTTGGGTTGTGACAATCTCTATGTTTTTTAATGATTAGATTGTATGTTGTCTTGCAAAAAATTGTAATTGGGTCTTTAATTCACTGTGTTTTTTGAAGAAAAAAATGATTGTATTTTTTAACTATCAATTGACTTAATTTGTGATTGAGTTTTTGGACAATCTGTTTCGATCACATAATGAGAAAAAAAAAATTGCGTGGATTGTGACAATCTCTGTGTTTTTTAAAAACTTATTTAGCCAAGTAATAGATTATTTAACATTCACTTTCACAATATGAATATTAACTACCATATCACCCATATAATGCATGGGATTATTTGTTTGTTTTTATTTTTCTGTCAAAAAATAAATGGGTACCAATGCCGATATTTGTGTGTGTGTGTGTGTGTTTTTTTTTTTATTTTTTTTAATTTTCTACTTTATAATTTATTAAATATTAATTTTAGATTTGTTATAATAACTTTTTTTACATGATGGAACGTGATACAATTGCCGCTAAAATTAATCAACTATCTCGAAAAAGAAAATCACTCATTTCACTGCAGACTGATCATGATGATCCCACATTCAAGAACAAATTAAAACAACTTCAAAAAGAAGCACGTTGATTAAGAGCATGTGTTCTACGTGACAAACAATTACATTATAGAACCAACGTTTAAAATGTCACAAGTAAGCGCTAAGGTATTATCATTTTCATATATATAGATTTCTTATTATTTTTTATACTAAATAAATATATTTGAAGCAATTTACAATACAAAAGTTGTTATGTCTTCCACATCAGAAGGTATTCACTTCCAGCAACATGTTTCAAGTGTCACTAAATTGACAAACAATACTAATGTTCTAAATGGTAAGAAGCTCAAGTAATATATTTTCTAATTTTGATTCTTTTATATTTGCTAATTTCATAATAAATGCTAATAATTATATTGTTTATATTTTTCATAAATATTATATGATGCAATAGTCATGCCTCCCATTTCTGAGGAAGAAGGTAATAAATATTATTAATTTTACAATTATGATTTATTTGACAATACTCTTATAACTTTAAAAAAGTAATAATTTTATACTAATTATTTTATTTATATAAATCCAAATAAAGGAATTGTTTTATTCCTGACATGAGGGTATTCAGATACACGAGAATGCTTAAGAAGTCACAAGGGTGATGAATAATAATATTATCCTACAAGAAGGTAAACACTAACATATATATAGATTTCGCAATTATGATTTTTAAAATTATAATTCACAAGTTGCTCCGTTTGGCAAGGGCTTTTGTGGCTATTTTAGCCACAAAAGACAAAACAGGCTATTTTAGCCGCAACAAATAAAATATCACATCCAACTCATAATCATTACACTCTTCTTTCACAAAAAAAGTCAAAAAAGCCAAAAAATCCTTTCCAAACCAAACTTTTTAGCTTAGGCTAAAATAACCAAAAAAGCCAAAAGCTAAAAAGCCAACCCACCTCCCAAACTGAGGCTTATATTGTTTTTTTTTTTTTAATCTAATTAGATGACGCGAACAACAATATTATCACAAAAGAACAAGGTAATAATTATTATTTATATTAATTTTAAAATTATGATTTATTTGATAATATTATCATAACTTCAAATAATAAATGACTTGACATTAAATATTTTATTTATGCAAATTCAAATAAAGGAATTGTTGTATTTTTGACATCTGAGGGTGTTCACATACATGAAAATGTTTCGGAAGTTACAAGAATGGTGAATAATAATATTATCCTACCAAAAGGTAAACCCTAATATATATAAATATCAATATTTTTTAATTATAATTTTTAAAATTATAATTTTCAATAATTGATATTCATGAACCATTGAATTAAATATTAATTTATAAATTAATTATTTTGCAATTAAATTTTAGATGATGGAATAGTCATTCCCCCTATATTTGAGAACTCCAATTGCATGGAGATGTATCCGAAATCATAATGACAGCAAATATTAATATTCATCCACCACAAGGTATAAATAAACTATTATGTTATTCATTTTTACGTATTATTTGTACATGACTCACAATTTTATAATTATCTCGTTATAATATCTGCATATACAAATATTAATATTGATAAATTATATTTTTTCAACTTCTAGGTCCATGTCTCATTACATGTAAATACAACAAGTTATATACTAATCATTCATTCCGTCATACAAATTATATTCAAGTGTGGTAGGTTATGATTATATAATATTAATTAATTACATATGACAATATAATTCTCACCATTATATATATATATATATGGGGACATAATTTTTGAATGACAACACGTGGCCGAGGTGGTACTGGAGTGCCAGCGGAGGTGTTACATGTCTTGGACATGACGCCGAGATTATCTCGGTAAGGCCGAGGTTATCTGCTAAGATACCGGAATCCGGGATAAGTGGATAAGGGACAAGAGTCCTAAAATGAGATGAGACTTTAGTTTGGGTAAATGTAAGACTCTTAGAGAGTTTATCCTAATCCTACTGGGAGTCCAAGATTAACAGTAATCCTAAATCCATTGAAGCTAGGTTTCTAATGGGATTAGGTCAGTGTTGGCTATAAAAGAGAAGCACCCTCATTAGTCTAAGGTACGCTTTTTATATTCTGAATAGTGAGTTAAGCACTTTCGCTATCTTTGAGAGATAACTGACTTGATCGTTGGAGTGCTCCCGGGTGGACGAACCACCACCAGAATCTCTTCTTTCTATGACAGGTCGTTTGGGTTTAATCTATTCTGTCGGTGCTCTCCAGCTAAGTACTAGTTTGGCAGTGTGGTCAGAAATGGACTCACACAATTTGGCGTCATCTGTGGGAAAGAAAGGAGAATAGATGGCCAATAACGGATAGAAAGATAAGGTTGGGGACGACACTCCTATTGGGAGTAGGAGACCTGTTGACCTTGACGTCGAAGAAGACAACTGCAACAAAGAGACTCGTGATAAGAATCACGGGAAAAGGACGTCAGCCAGGAGGGTGACACGTCAAAGAAATCAGACCGAAGCGGGTATTATAACGAGGACGACCTCCAGGTGTGGAAAGAAAGATGCCTGCGGAGGGACGACGAGATGAAGGAAATAGCGAACAAATTGGTGGACCTGCAAACGGTCGTCAACTTCATGATGCAGAACAATGTCATGTAGCCACCATTCCCATTACAAGATAGGTCGATTCCAGCAGCCAAGAACGCTGCCCAAAAAGATGGGCAGAAAATAGTCCCTACAGTCCCCCAGCACACCAGGACTGAAAAACACTCTCACTGGCCTTCAAGAGAGGTCGGGTGAGGAGAGTCAAGAAGGGGAGATTCTAGGA